ATATGGGAAATGATACAGTGACCAGAAGGATAAAGATCACAAATCTAAGAGTAAAGCAACAGGTAAAGCAGGAGGTTACAAATATTTCAAAAGAATAAAACCAAAGGCTATGTACCTGAGTGCATTCGAAGGAAACAAATCAACTGATAACATAAGTAGAAATAAGTAAGTATGATCTGATAGCCATTACAGATACATAGTTACAGGATGATGTGGATCTTAATAACAGCACTCTTAGGTGGGAATACAATAATATGATTGAATTTTATAGTCACTTCGAGGGAGAGAGAATTGGGTCCAAGTCTAATATTTTGATAGAATTTGAGTTGATTTATTGTTGTCCTAATGGCAAACCCACTATTCGTGGTTAACTAAAGAAGTTTAAGATGGTATTAAATCAAAAGGAGAAGCATACAATTCTGCATAGACATATGATAGACCAGAAGATTGGACGTAATATAAAGAAAAGCCAAAAAAAGACTAAAATGTTAAGGAAGGAAAAGTTAGAGTATGAAAGAAAGCTAGTTTAATTATGTGACTGGATTTTAGTTTTTTGCCTCAGTGCGAGTTGCATCTTTTTTTTGGAGGAATTCTCTCTGTGAGACCCACTGAGATTTCTTGCTATATCTTAGCAAACAGACGTCATTTAACTACCTACCCTGTCCTACGGCATCTGTCATGTCCAATTTTCTTTTCCCTCCTTACCATGTACCATTCCTGGACAACTCTCTATTCACTGGATGTCTGTCAGTGTCAGTCCTAACTACCCTGCGTGGTTCCTGACATTTGATTTGCATGTAGCAGGAAGGGGTAAATCAGCATCCCACTTAGCTGGCAGGGGCCTGGAGGAGTGGTGCAGAGGTGGGACTTCCTCTTCCCTCAAGACTAACAGTGGAGGCCACCACTCCAGACCATCTCAGCCTGATCTGAGATTGCCACTCTGATTAAAGCATCTCAACCATCTGGAGAAATACACAGCACTATAGGAACAAGGTCAATGACTTTCACCACTCTGCCAACGTAAGTGCCATAATCTTCTCTCTGCTACCTCAAGCTGAATCTGTCTCTGGAATTGCACCCTTTTCCAATCAAGGCACATGCTCTACCATTCTCTAATGGATGCATCATCTCCCTCATTTATTCTTGCTCTCAGCCTCTTTAATTTGACATTCTTTGACCCTGAGACAGTTACAAAACTTTCCTTCCACCAGCACCTTTTCTCCCAAGGAGATGAGCTGTTACTCCTTGTTGATTTCAATGCCAGAGTGATGAGGGAAAGGTGTGATTGGCCAGTAAGGTGTAGGAAAGATAAACAGCCACTGAAGTCTTCATCCTGAAGAACCGCCTAGAGCATGGTCTGACCCGAACAAACACCCTTTTCATCAGAGACCAATAAAAGACTTCATGGTGACACCCTCACTTTCAATATTGTCACCTGCTTGACTACATCAACATATGAGCAAGGGACAGCAAGGATTTTCACATCGCAGTTTACCTGATGACTATAATAAACAGGAACCACAAAATGTCCACTGTGCCAGACATTCTGGAACATGAAGCACCACCAATACTCAAGAGAAAGAAAGCAGGCCTAAAGATAAATGAAGGCTGGTTTCCAACAGTAAAATTGTGATCCAAATGACAGATGGTGGCTGGAAAGAGCACAGGACATACAGCAACTCATCAACAAGCATGACATGTATGGATTCTTATTAGTCAAGACCAACTATGGCTCAAAAATCTACTCCAATGAGAACTGACGGTAGAATGGTACTTACCAAGAACAGAAATGTAGTGGACACTTGTCTGAAAAAGCAACTTGAGCATCTGTCAACCAAGACTCGGTCCTTGATGTGAGTCCTCTGGACTACCTCCCATTGCTTATCGCTCTCTATCCATCACTGCCTCTACACAACCTCAGCCCAACACGAGATTAATAAGGCCAGCCTACAGTGGAGAACCAATGAAGCTGCCATTGCAAATGGAATCCTTGTTGAAATGCCACTATACACAATCTTATCTCCCTCAGCTGGAAGGACACCATGTCAGAGGATCTTCAAGAGACTGTAATTGTGACCAAAGTTTGTTGACAGTGCTATCAAATGGCACTTGAGCAGCAATAACCTATTCAGTGATACTCAGTTTGGATTTCACCAGAGCCACTCAGTTTCTGACCTTTTACATCCTTGGTGAAAACATGGACAAAAGAGCTGAATTCAAGAGATGAGGCAAGAGTGACTGTCCTTGACACCAAGGGATGATGGCATGAAGTAGCCCTAGCAGAGTTGAAGTTAATGAGCATGGGCTAAAACTCTACATTGGCTGGAATCAATATTCAGCCTGACATTTATATGACAGAAATTACAATTGCTGTAGCAAGACTAGTTTAGTGATTACAAATCAGGAGATCATGGAGCTATAAATTGTAAGTCCAATGCATTCCTGAACATGAAATACCACCAACACTTGAGGGGAAGAAAAAAAGGCCTCCAGACAAATGAATGCCAAATCTGTGAATCTACTCATCTATCCACGACATTCAACTATCTTGCCATTTCTGAATCCCTCATAGTCAACATCCTACGAGTTACTATTGACCAGGAACTGAACTGGATTAGCCTTACAAAAACTGTATCCGAGAGACAGGTGAGGAACTAGGAATTCTGTGGAAAGTAGCTTGCGTCCTGACTTACCATAGCTTGTTCATGATCTAGAAGGCACAAGTCAGAGTTTGTTGGAATGTACTCCTCTTGCCTGGATGAGTGCAACTCCAACAATAGTCTAGAAGCTTAATGAATCCAGAGCAAAGCAGCCCACTTGGTACGCCATCCATCACCTTCAACATTCACTCTCTCCACCATCCAATACACAGTGGAGGCAATGTGCATCATATACAGGATGCAATACAACAACTCACCATACAACCTTCAACATAACTTAGAAAACATGACCCTGAAACCTAGAATGACAAGGGCAGTAGGAACATAAGAATGCCATCGACAAGTTCTCCTCTGACCTGAAACTCTATCATCATTCATTCACTGTCATGGGTCAAAATCAGGGAATTCCCTTCTAATCAGTCGTTTGAATACACCTACTCTAGATAGACTGCAGTAGTTCAAGAAGGTGTCGTATTCCCACCTCCTCAAGGGTAAGTAGGGATGGTTAATAATTGCTGGCCTTGCAATAATGCTTAACTTCCTTGAAATTAAAAAAAAATTGACAGAACAGTGACAGTGGAGCAAGAGGCATTGGCTCAAGCTGTTGAAGGACAAATTGATGATAATATTGAGAAGAATTCACACATACAATGACTTAGACTTAATCTTGAAAGAGCACTGGAATTGGAAATCATACAATTGAAGATTTTCTTGAATGGCAAGGGGATCAAGGGTTATGGGGAGAAGGCAAGAGAATGGAGTTGAGAAACATATCAGCCATGATCGAATGGCAGAACAAATTCAACGGGTCAAATGACCTAATTCTACTCCTATGCCTATGGTTTTACGGTCTTGTGTTGAATGATAAGGAGGAGAAGTTTACTTTCTGAATATGCAAGCCTTTTTTTTATCATACTGTTATATATTTACTGGAAAGATCCTTGTTGGTAAGAAGCTTCTAGTGTTTTTAATCCCTTTTTGTAAATAAATGTCAGAATCCAGAATGCTATAAAACACGGTTTCTTCAGGAGCTGAAGGAGAGGATGTTGCAATTTTGGTCTCTTGCAAGTGTGTTAATCAATTCATATTTCACACTAGATGTTGTCAGGTTTTCCTGGATCCACAACACTATCTCCAATATTAATTATAATTAATGAATCCCTTCTCTGATAATAAATATTTGTTCTAATAAAATGACCACGGTATCTTAATTTTGGAATGAATTCTTCTCTTTAGTGGCTGTATTTGACAATACCTATTTGTGTTGGTTGCTTCCTTGACCATCATAAGATTTGCTGGTTGGCTGTGAGCAAACATTCTAACTTCAATAATCTTCTCATAAATGGAAAAGAGTTCCCATGTAAAAAGTTCTGCAAAGAATCATTCAATGCAATAATCTCAGTCATTGAATGTCTATTCTGTGATGTATTTAGCTTTGTTAAAATATGTGGTATGTTGTTTCCTTTTGCATCTTCTGCTAGTTACATTTTTGGATTTATGGTATCCCATGTTTTCTTACTGTGTTAATGTGCATCACTAATATAAGACATTATGAAAGGTATTTGACCTGAAATGTTAACTGTGGTCTGTCTCCACAGAGAGCCTGCCAGTCCTGCTGAATATTTTCAGCATTTTCTGTTTCTTTTTCAGATTTCTACTTTCCACAGTATTTTGCAATTGCTAGTTAAAAGTCACAATTTGTTCAAGGCTCCTCTCTGTACACATTATTTCTTGTAGGTTGTTGCTGTTGCCTACAGAAAGGGAATGTGATGCAGGGGATCATTATTTTATTGACATGCATTACAAAAGTAAACGCAACCTTTGGAATTGATTTATATCTGCCATTAGTGTCTCTTACACTGCCGTGATGTGTTTGCTGAAAATTAGACTGATTGCTTTAACGTGACCATAATTTCCAGTTCTGTTCCTCCAGACAGCAGGTGCTGTAATGATTCTGCTTTTATCATTTTTAGGTCCTCTAGATCATTTTTATTGTTCTATTGCTACCCTTGCACCATTATCTCTTTTGTCATTCTGTCTTCCAAATATATTGTGAATGTTCCCTTTTGTTTTATTCTTCACTTTCTCCACTTTGCCCTGTACGTAGTTGAAATTTGTTGCATTACTAACCTTTACTAGTTTTAATCAAAGGTATTTGGCTTGGAATGTTAATTCTCTTTCTTTCTCCATAGATACTGCCTTACCTACTGAGTTTTTCTGTTTTTATTTCAGATTTTCTGCATTCACAGTATTTTAATTTTGTAATTATTGTTACACAATGTTGGATTTATTCTAAAACTACAATATTCTTCAACTTAATGCATTCATTTCCATTTGCAGGAAAGTGAAATTGCTCAGGATTTCTGTAAAATGCCTTCACAGCGTGCCACTGTCAGTAATGCTGAATACAAGGTGGTACCTCACACAAGAGTTGATGATGAATTTGCTATTCGGGTATGTAGATAATTTAAAAACTCCTTAAACTTTTACACTAATGTGAGAAGTTCTCTCTAGCTGTTTTTCTTTTTGTCATATGGTTTCTTCGTTTGGGAAAATAACACTCTGAACATATGTGATGTACGTGATTGAGTTATACATAAGCATAATTTGAAATGTAGAAAAATCTAGTTGCTGTATGCATGAATTAAAAATAAAACTGCCCTTGTGAAAATTGATTAACAAATTTATTTATAGGTGTTGCATCATCCATCTCACCCACATTTTAGCTGTTTCCTACTTTTGTCTATTCAACACACTGTCAAATAAGAAAAAAAACCAGTTGCATTTATTTTGATTTCAGAACATTTGCGCAATAGACAATGAAGTATGCTGTCATAATGTTTAGTATATATTGAATCTACAAGATCTCCAATGACAATGAGATAATGACTAAATAGTTTGTTTATCGTTAATTGAAGATGAAATGTTCTCCAACACATTCTTGAGAACCTCCTTGCACTTCATATAGTAAGTTGGGGTTCATTTATTTTCACCTGTAAGGGAGAATGGAATCTCAGTTTAAATTAAGAGTCTTAAATATGGCATCTCCAACAAACAGTACTCACTCTATATTGTACTCAATTGTCAATACATATCATGTGCTCAAGTGTTTGGTTTAAACCCACAAAAATCTCTGCAGCAAGACATTTTGTCCAATTGCTGGAGAAGGGTTTGTCTAAAATTAAAGAGGAAAGAACATCTAAAGTGAATAATTTTTATTAAAATAGTCTCACATTTTGACTCAGGCGTGATGATGAAACCTACAACTATAATAACAGTTATTGTAACTGGACAGTAGCCAGTGTCAAATGCTGATGTGTATTCTGGCCCCTTCTAGTAAATGGTGATGATTTTGGATAGCCGAGCTCTTGGGGATGCTGATGGGGGCCTTGGATCTAGAAAATACAATGAAATGAGTTAACGCAACCTGCAAGCTATGATGTCATTCTAACGAAAGAATAATGATGGAGCAACTATGGATGGTTTAAAAAACCATACTAGTAGAAGGTCATCCAGAATGCTCCATTGAATTCAATGTAATGGCTTAACAGTCAATCCATGTGTAGTGATTGTAACAAGGTCAGCTAGGCTTACCTCTTAGAGCATGAGTTCCCTGATTGGACCAGGTTATCAGCCCCAATCAGGGAGCCTTGGGTGACAAATATAAACAGGAATGTTAAAGGTTTTGTTCACTCTGACTGCTGGCTCTAAGGAAGCTGGAGCAGTGTCAAGGACTCTCCACATGTAAATAAAGGGTGACTTGATGACAGGATACCAGCTTCTGTGGAGTTATTTCATCAGTGCTCCTAACTCTCCTCTATTTGACTACCTCAGGAAAGCAAGATTTTGGATATTATGCAGTATATAATGCCTAGATATGCAGAGCTCAACCTAAAACATAAGTAGCCAAAGATGGAGTAAAGCCTCTCCAACAAATTACTATTTATTGAATGTATCATAAGGAATACAAAGTCTTAAGGTTAAAATGATCAGTAAGAATTACACTAATTTCCCTTATGCTATTTATACAGCATAATAATTTTAAGAGACTGAGTTTTCAATATAGTATGTATTCTTGTATTTCAATTGAGTTAAAATGTTGATCTGTCAGCAAGCAATAGTATATTTATTGTATGAGTCCATTTACCTTTTGAAACTTTTTTTTTAGCAAATCTATAACTTTGGCCAAAAGTTGGGACAAGGCAGCTATGGGGTAGTGATTGAGGCCACGCATAATGGGACTGGCAAGAAGTGGGCAATCAAAAAGGTCAATCGGGAAAAGGTAAATAACTTCAATTATTATTTTTGGGTTTTAATAAAGTTAATAAAGTTCAGTTTTAATACAAAGCTGAATTAATTATATTCAGAGAATGGTAACTGGAGAGCATTTTCTTAAGTTTAAAAATAAATGGAAATTACTTAAAGGATATTTTCTGAGAGCAAAACTTTTAAATCCTACTATAAATTATTATTTAAATTCGACCAAGTAACTATTGGCATGAAACTTGTGCATTTCTATAAACTAAATTCAAGACTTAAAATCTTCGGTTTGATTTGTTAATATAGAATGCTTTTCATTGATTTATATACTTTGACTGAATCAGTTCTACCTTCTGTAAAGGCCGGGAGTTCGGGGGTGAAGCTGCTGGAGCGAGAAGTCAGTATTTTAAAGCAGGTGGACCATGAACATATCATTCATCTGGAAGAGGTGTTTGAAACACCCAGAGTAAGATACAACTAGATTTGCTCAACATTCTTGAGACTTTTTATTTTGCTAATGCTTATATTGTATAAATTTTCAAAATTTGGAATACTTTGCATGACTTACTCTTTACTTGAGAAAGTAATAGGCACTTTTCATTCTTTCGCTGTTGTTAATCAATTGTATAAAAATGTCCTTGCAATAGTTATGAATAAGAATGGATTGAATGTCAAGCTTTAAGTTGCTTTTTCTCTAATTTAAAAATAAGTAGAAACATGGTCTTGTACATTTTATGCTCATGTAGATTTACAGCTCAGAACAACTGTGACCAGCATGTAAATGTCAGTAGTACTTTGGGGTCAACTTTACAAGCATCAATCTGCAATGGACCTCTTTTAGGCTCCCAGTCTGTCACACTACATCCCCTTGAGCTGTTGCATCATCTCCCCCAAGCTTCCCCATCTGCAGAGTCTCTCTGTTTCTCTGGCTTCTGTTCTGCAGCATCTCCTTTGCTTGTCTTTCCCATATCTTCCAGCCTGTTGCGTTCCCTGATCAGGCTGCATATCTGGTGCCATCATTATTTATTCCCTCTTTGTTGTGCCAAACCCAAAAATTGTGTACTTCAGTTGCTGTGCTTTTTCCCTTTTTTCCCTCTTTCCACTTCCTTCCTGGTTACTTTTCTCTTTGTTTCAATTAACTCACCTTTCAGTTTTTCTTTATGAAATGCTGTATATAAAGAATTTTAAAAATAAAATTACAAATCAACTAAACTAAGTTATAGTGAAATAAAGAAGTTAGTTCATATATTACTCATCTGGTGCTTTTTTTCTCTTGTTGCTCCAGTGGATTTTAAATGAAATAACAAATACAGAGACATGCATCATAGAATCCCTACAGTGTGGGAACAGGCCCTTTGGCCCATCAAGTCTGCACCAACTCTTGGAGCATCCCACCCAGACCCATCCTCCTACCCTTTCCCTGTAACCCACCTAATCTACACATCTCTGGACACAATGGACAATGTTGGTATGGCCTATGCACCTAGTGTGCGCATCTTTGGGCTGTGGGAGGAAACCCACACAGACATGGGGAGAATGTGCAAACTGCACACAGATAGTCACCTGAGGTTGGAATCAAATCTGGGTCCCTGGCACAGTGAGGCGGCAGTACTAACCACTGAGCCATTGTGCCTGATTGGTAGATAAAGTAAAATAGGTATAACATCATATGCTTTGGGTAAATTTTTACCGTCACAAACTGAGTGGTAACCTGGCATGTTGTTCTCACTTTGCTAAACCGACCACCTGGTTTCCATTTTGATTTCAGAGATTTGCTACAATTGGGAATACACACTTTCACTTTACTGTCCAAACACTATCTCTTCTATTTACTAAAATAGATTATCTTTTGAAGCACTTTTTTTATTCATTCATGGGGAATAGGCATCATTAGCTGGGCCAGCATTTATTGCCCATTTCTGGTTGCTTTTGAGAAGGTGGTGTTCAGCTGTCTCCTTGATGTACAACAGTTGCACCCACAGTGCCATTTGGACTGGGAGTTCCAGGATTTATTAGATAATATAGTGCCTCTAACAAAATTGAAGCTGAGCTAGCCAAATGAGGAAACATTTGAAGCTCATGCATTATTCTGCAATACACGTGGACAAAGAAGGACACGGATTTAACTGGGACAACACATCCATAATACCACAAGCCAAACAGAGACATACCAGGGAATTCCTGGAGACCTGGCATTCCAACCAGAACTCTATCAACAAACACATTAAACTGGACCGATATTAAAACCACTGAACAACAGAGCTGGAAGTGATGCCAACCACCCCAGCAAACCGAGGCATATAAATAACAAGCTGGACAGAATACCGACCCTTCACCGGAGGTGCACTTACGATGTTACCTAGCAGGGTGACAAAACGTCTGCAATCAAACACACCAGCTCAGCAAGCAAGTCTACAATCGCATTATTCTGCTATCTTGAAATTTGTTTTGTCAACCCATATATTAGATATAACTGTGATTCTGGCTTACTTTTGATTGTGCCACTGGCGTGTATCTGTTCGTGAAGTTACTGTGACATTTACTTTGCTTTAGATCAATGTTGAGTAACCTGCACTGGGTTTCATTAGATGACCAAAGAAACTGTTCCTTCTTGCTGAAAATCACTAATTAAACAGGGATTAAAAGCATGCCATTTTAGTTATAAATTTCAAAAAAAAAGTTTTATATATGTCACTTTCTTGCCTTTCCTGTTTTCTAATGAAACAACATTTTTCAAACTGTCAGTAGAGGTGATGGAATTGATTTAGTAATTGCTTGCTTGTTAATTAAGCAACTGTAGATTAGATATCATTTATACTTTATTTGTGACACAGAGATAGACTGGAGCAATTCAGTCACTCCAACTAATGTGGCTACATGCATTTTAGACTCTCTAAAAACAACACTTTAAAGTATTCACCAGATGCCTGGGGTGCGGGGTGGGGCAGGGAAGTGCGGGGATGTGGAAGGATACAATCACCATAAATAAAACATATCACCATTTTAAAAAATAACCATATACTTTGTTAATGAGTGTTGTAAGATCTCCGTAATAATTAACTTAATTATCGCTTTCTTTCAGCGGGTATACTTGGTGACAGAGGTGTGTGAGGGCGGAGAACTAAGTACAATCCTTCATAGAAAAAAACGCTTAAGTGAAAAAGAGACGAGACATGTGATTCAAAGCCTAGCAAGTGCAATTGCTTACCTACATAAAAATGGTAAGACCTCATTGCAGGAATTAAGAAATTACCATGTACTTACAGGAAGTAAAATAGCAATTTTATAGTTCTAAAGCCTTAAAAATACATAATAGGTACTCATTTAATGAAAGGTTTCAGTTCGGGTACTAATTTAATAGAAAGAAGTTGCAATAAGAAAATTATCAAACATGACATAAGACAGAGGAGTAACAATGGATCAGTGGCCCCTCCGCCCTGCTCTAGCGTTCAATAAGATCATGACTGATCTGCCTCAAATCTATTTTTCTACTTGCTTTCCATATCCCTTGATTCCCTGATAGATCAGAAGTTTATGTATTCTAGTCTTGAATATATTTCATATACTAATGGAGCAACACACTGACGTAGACATTTCCAAAGATTTAGAACCTTCTGAATTGATCCACCTCTGTGTTTACCTAACATATCCCTTCTAAATCTCTTTTGTTTTGTTTTGTATAACTGACCTTTCATTATTCTAAGCTACACAGGACATGGGCTAAGTAATCACCAGAGCCCTGCGCAATTGTATAGTTACAATTGGCTTTGTGCGGGGCAGGTCATGTCTTACTAATTTGATCAAATTTTTCGACGTGGTGACGAAGCTGATTGATGAGGGTAGAGCATTGGATGTTGTTTACCTGGATTTTAGTAAGGCTTTTGACAAGGTCCCTCATGGTAGGCTCATCCGGAAGATTAAGATACATGGGATGCACGGTGACTTGGCCACTTGGATTCAGAATTGGCATGCCCATAGAAGATAGAGGATAGTGGTAGAAGGGTGTTTTTCAGGCTGGAGGCCCGTGACAAGTGGTTCTGCAGGGATCCATACTGGGACCACTGCTGTTTGTGATATATATAAATGATTTAGATTAAAATGTGTGTGGGTACTTTAGTAAGTTTGCAGACCATACAAAGATCAGTAGAGATGTGGATAGTGTAGAAGGTTTCAAAGGATACAGCGGGATATAGATCAGTTGCAGGTATGGGCCGAGAAATGGCAGACAGAATTTAATCTGGGTAAGTGTGAGGTGCTGCATTTTTGGGAGATCAAATGTTAAGGAAAATTGCACAGTTAATGACAAGACCCTGAACAGCGTTGATGAACAGAAGTATCTTGGGGTTAAAGTCCATAGCTCCCTGAAAGTGGCCATGCAAGTAGATAGGCTGGTAAAGAAGGCATATGGCATGCTTGCCTTTATTAGTTGAGGAATTGAGTGCAAGAGTCAGGATGTCATGTTGCAGCTTTATCAGACTTTGTTTAGGCTACACTTAGAGTATTGTGTTCAACTCTGGTCGTCACATTACAGGAAGGATATGGGGGCTTTGGAGGCGGTAAAGAAGAAGTTTACCAGGATGCTGTCTGGATTAGAGGGTATGACCTATAAGGAGAGGCTAGAAAAACTCAAGTTGTTTTCTCTTGAGCGGCGGAGGCTGAGGGGAAACTTGTTCGAAGTTTATAAAATTATGAGATTCATAAATAGGGTTGACGGTCAGAATCTTTTTCCCAGAGTTGAAGTGACTAAAACTAGGGGGCATGTGTTTAAGGTGAGAGGGGGAAGTTCAAAGGAGATGTGTAGGGCAAGTTTTTTACACAGAGGGTGGTAGGAATCTGGAAGGCACTGCCAGGGGTGGTGGTGGAGATAGATACAAAAAGGGCATTTAAGGGACTTTTAGATAAGCACATGAATATGCAAGGAATGGAGGGATATGGACCAAGGGCAGGCAGAAGGAATTAGTTTCATTTGGTGTCATGTTTGGTATAACACTGTGGGCTGAAGGGCCTATTCCTGTGCTGTATAGTTCTATGTTCTGTGTACAGTTGTGGAAAGACTTCCTGTCCTTGTACTCCATTCCCTTGTAATGGGGCTACTATGTAATTGAACTTGCCACATCTGCCTGCTATCTGTTTGATAAAAACCCTAAGCAGAGTTATGGTGATAGTTTGGGTGGGATACTCTTCAGAGGGTCAGTGTAGACTCGATGGGCTGAATGGCCTCTTTGTGCACTGTAGGGATTCTATTACTTACTAGCAGATATCCGCTTTAACCTGTGATAAAATTGCCACCAAACTAAACTTCCACAATTCCATAGAACCACCTTGATAAGCGAGTGAATAAAATGAATGAAAATTATTATAGTTTCTAAATTTTAGCTTGCATTGTTCTTTTGTGTTAGTCATTTCTGGGCATGTAATTTTAAAGCCACCATAATTGAATGAGAACACCAGAAAAATAAACTTTCCGATTTCAAATACTGGGGCCTGAATTTTAGTTCTGGTTTTAGGACCATGACGTCTGATAGACTCCCAGGCACATTGGTGTCTGAAACAATTTTTGAAGAGTTCACCTTTTATGGCCAGGGAGCACATTCACCATCTACTTAAGAATGGTAGGTAGACTCCTGATGCTGGAAGACCTCATTTTTGAAATTTCAGTGGTCCCACCATCAGAGATGGGATTATTGATGCAAGTTGGAAAGAGAGTGGGTGCCTAAGCTGCTTGCAGGCACATAGCCATTTTTTTTTCTGCCAAACCAGCATGTTCCAAAGTAACCTGGAGCTGGGAGCATACTGGCAAACTACCACACCACTTGTTGGTGGGACTTTGTGGGCCTGTCTGTCTCCTTCCCTGTTTCATGCCATTTCAAACATTTGGCCAACAGAGTCACTGAAAGATTCACTGACAGTACTGTATTTTCTTCTTGTTTTTATTTGTAACATTTAGAGGAAAGAGTTTGATTAAAGTGAATCCTGTTTTGTTAAACTGAAAATTACTCTTTGTCTTCCTCACCTCATTGAACAAAATTAACGTTGCACGAACAAGAACAAAAACAGAAATTGCTGGAACAACAAAGTAGGTCTGGCAGCATCTGTGGAGAGAAATCAGAGTTAACGATTCAGATAAACGATAGGTGAGGATAGAAGCCTAAAGAAAGAGAAGAGCAGTTGGGCAGACAAAGGAGTGTATAACGATCTGGCTAGGAGGATGAATAGCTATCCCCAGCTATCATTTACTCGGTATCCCCTCCCTTCACACTATCTAATGCATATAATCCGACATTTTCCTAGCCACCATCAGTTCTGAGGAAGGATCACTCAATCCGAAACGTTTACGCTGATTTCTCTCCACAGATGCTGCCAGACCTGCTGAGCTTTTCCAGCATTTTCTGTGTTTGTTTCTGATATACAGCACTGGCAGTTCTTTCAGTTTTTATTTAATATTGCATGAAAATAGGTTTGTTGAAGATGGGGCATAGTATTAGAAATTTCAGAATATTTTGTAAAATAATTGTAATGTGATTTCAATTTTGATTGGATCACCAAAAAGTTGGATATTGCCATTTTTACAAATTTGAATTGCATCAAAATGCAGACAGCATGTCACATCATTGAAAGCACCTCTATATTACAATGGCAAATGACATACCTGGTTTATCGCCTTGAAAAGGTTTCGTGCTGGGTGTACCATTTTCAGAGAACATTAATTTTCTAATACCTTGTCAAGTATCATTATTTATGTGAGAGTCTTGTGGGAATCAGAAAGCTACTTGATAATAGAGACCATCAGAGCAAAGTGAAATAATAGAGGCAGGTTCAAATGAGGCATACAAGAGGCATTGTTTCTATTTAAATAATCATCCAAAGTGCAGGATTACTGAGAAAGGGCAAGACACTGGCACTACATTAAAATGCTCAGAGAGCCAGTACAGAACATGTTGGGCTGAACAGTCTCCTTCCATACCATTAAAATTCCGAGACTCTGTAATATAAACTCAACCTATATTCACATCTTTGCCTTTCTTCAACAAAAGTTGACAGCAATCAGGAGGAGGAATACTAGAGATATCAAGCCATTTGCAACAAAAAGGGAACAAATTTAGAAAAGTCTGGTCTGTACCTAGGAAATAAGAATTCTTTGATTTGATAGTATAGTGTTCAGCATTTTAAAAGGTTGGAGGACCTTGTTAAGTTTTGCAGCAGAGCCCAATTACAAGTACCTTGGGTAGAGTGAGCACAGCTGTTGTTGAAATATTTGAACTCCATTTCAAAATGGTAGTTGCAAAATACATTGGCACAGACATTCTGATGACAATAGAGGCTTTTTTTTTATTTATTCAGGTTCTGGAATTTGAGCATTATTGACTGGTCAGCATTTATTGCACATCTCTAGTTGCCCTTGAGAAGGCGGTGGTGAGCTGTCTTCTTGAACTGCTGCAGTCCACCTGCTGTGGGTTGACCCACAATGCCATTAGGGTAGGAATTCCAGGATTTGGACCCAGTGACAGTGAAGGAATGGCGATATATTTCCAAGTGAGGATGGTGAGTGGCTTGGAGGGAAACTTGAAAGTGGTGGTGTTCCCATATATCTGCTGCCCTTCTTCTTGTAGATGGAAGTGGTCGTGGGTTTGGAAGATGCTGTCTGAGGATCTTTGGTAAATTTCTGCAGTGCATCTTGTAGATAGTACACACTGCTGCTACTGAACGTTGGTGCTAGAGGGAGTGGATGCTTGTGGATGCAGTGCCAATCAAGCAGACTGCTTTTCCCTGGATAGTGTCAAGCTGTTGTTGGGGTTGCACTCATCCAGACAACTGGGGAGTATTCCATCACACTACTGACTTGTGCCTTGTAGATAGTGGACAGTCTTTCAGGAGTCAGGAGGTGAGTTGCTGGCCACAGTATTCCTAGCCTCTGACCTGCTTTTGTAGCCACTGTGTTTATGTGGTGAGTCCAGTTGAATTTCTGATCAATGATAAATCCCAGGGTATTGATAGTGAGGGATTCAGTGATAGTAACACCATTGAATATCAAGGGGCAGTGGTTAGATTGTCTCTTATTGGTGATGGTCATAGCCTGGCATTTGTGTGGAGTGAATGTTACCTGCCACTTGTCAGCCCAAGCCTGGATATTGTCCAGATTTTGTTGCATTTGGAGACGAACTGCTTCATTGTCTGAGGAGTCGCGAATGGTGCTGACTATCATGCAATCATCAGCAAACATCCCCACGTCTGACCTTATGATGGAGGGAACCTCATTGATGAAGCATCTGAAGATGGTTAGGCCTAGGCCACTACCCTGAGGAACTCCTGTAGAGATGCCCTGCAGCTGAGATGATTGACTTCCAACAACTACAACCATCTTCTAATGTGTCAGGAATGACTCTAACCACCAGAGAGTTTGTCCCTGATACCCATTGATTCCAGTTTTGCTAGAGCACCTTGATACCACACTTGGTCGAATGCACCCTCGATGTCAAGAGCTATCACTCTTACCTCACCTCTGGAATTCAGCTCTTTTGTCCATGTTTGAACCAAGGCTGTAATAAAGTCCGGAGCTAAGTGGCCCTGGCAGAACCCAAACTGGGCGTCACCGAGCAGGTTTTTGCTGAGCAGCTGCTGATCGATAGCACTGTTGACACCTTCGATCACTTTACTGATGATTGAGAGTAGATTGATAGGGCGGTAATTGTTCGGGTTAGAATTGTCCTGATTTTTACATACAGGACATATTTGGGCAATTTTCCACATTGCCAGGTAGATATCAGTGTGTTGTAACTGTACTGGAACACCTTGCTAGGGCAGTGGCAAGTTCTGGAGCATAAGTCTTGAGTACTATTGCCGGAATGTTGTCAGGGCCCGTAGCCTTTGCAGTATCCGGTGCCTCCAACTGTTTCTTGATATCACATGGAGTGAATTGAAGTGGCTGGAGACTGGTATCTGTAATGCTGGGGACCACTGGAGGAGGTCGAGATGGATCATCCACTTGGCACTTTGGCTGAAGATTGATGCAAAAGCGTCTGCCTTATCTTTTGCATTGATGTGCTGGGCTCTTCCATCATTGATGATGGGGATATTTGTGGAGCCACCTCATCCAGTGAGCTATTTGTTTGAAACTGGATAGACTGGAATTGCATGATGATGCCCTGCAGAATCCCCAACACAACATATTCCATGCTATCTGGAAATTGAATTACCCAATGTGTATGCATTCTGCATCTGGAATCTTCTAAAATAGTTTATTAAAGGCGAACAGTTTGAAGGGTTGCAACAAAATTAAGCTTGATTGTTACTCAGGTAAAATAGAGATTTAAAAAGCTACTTTAACTCCTGGATAACAATTCAGCTGAACCTCTACTGTTGCTGGAACTGATTCCACGCCGCTGCCCTAAACACCTGACCCTCTACCTGTAGGTCCTGACAACCCTTGATCCCTTGGACCTGCAAGGTCTTCTGCTGAGTGGATCTTTCCCTGTATCTCCGATGTGGTCAAATGTATACCCATGGAAATCGGAATAACTTGGGCTCGTAGTTTAGCATTTATGAGCTGGTCCTTTATTGCAATGTAACTTGATTCTGTTGACTATACCTCAGGTTTACGTCAAAGGTTCAGGTCCATTCTAGAATTTGGGTATGCAATTTGGAATATGTAATCCACCATGTTGATCCCTCACCAAGTATCACAAAAACAGATTAACTCATTATTCATCCAGTGGCTGCCTGTGAGATCTTGTTGAGTTTGTTTACATAGTAACACTTCCTCCAGTTTAGGGCTAACCCATTTCATATGAAGTGCATTGGGATGTATTACAAGTGGAAAAAGTTAAAACAATTTTTTCTTACTTTAAGAAGTCCAAGAGTCTAATTTATAGTATATATTAAGAGACCATGTCTGAGAGGAGTTTTCTGTGTGCTAATCTAAATCTTAATGTATTAAATTCAGCAGTTTACTTGCTTTACATATTTACATTTTGAATATTATGTGGTCTTTCTATAGATATTGTCCATCGGGATCTAAAACTGGAAAACATCTTGGTTAAAAACAATGAAAGTGACAGTGAAATTGACATGAAACTGAACATCAAGGTAAATGGAATGAATTTTGAAATTAAATAGTTGTTATAAGTCTGTTTCTAAGGTCATTGATTCCTTTCTGTCTGGCAGCATGAGAAGTGCTTTTCTGGAATGAGATTGTGCACACGCTAAGCCCTATAATACATTCAAGTAATAAACTTTCAACTGCCTCATCATTTTAGTATAAGTTGAGAAACCTGATAAAAATCATTCAGTTTGATTTCAACCAATTCAGAGCATGGATCAATAACCAATTTTTAACATTAGCTAAAATATGGGCAGCTTCCATGTTGTCACACTAACTCTGTCATCCCTTGACTCCTGTTTCTGTACTGTCAGGCAGCTTATATTTTTATAGAATCCCTACAGTGTGGAAACAGGCCCTTTGGCCCAACAAGGCCACACCGACCTTCAAAACATCCACTCAGACCCATCCCCTTAAACCCACCTAATCTGCACATCCCTGAACACTAGAAACAATTTAACATGGCCAATCCACCTAGCCTGCACATCTTTGGACTGTGGGAGGAAACTGGAGCACCTGGAGGAAACCCACGCAGACACGGGGAGAATGTGCAAACTCCACACAGACAGTCACCCAAGGGTGGAATTGAACCCAGGTCCCTGGTACTGTGAGGCAGCAGTGCTAACCACTGAGCCACTGTGCCGCCCCAAAGCTTGTTGACAATCCTCAGCAATCAAACATTGGGAAGATTGAAATTGAAGTTATTGTTTTTGTTTAAGACCACAAGCTGTATATCCTTTCCAATGACTACATATTCCTTTTCAGCCACCCGCTTCAGTCTGAGCCAGACTGTTCATAGCTGCAGATTTTTATTTAATCTCAAGATGAGTTCCCAACACCGACACAGCTGTGCCATATAAGATCCTGGTTTCTATTCATCTTCAATTCAAAATACAATCCAATATATTTAAAATGCCTTTGTTATTCTGCCATACCAATCCATGTAACCTCTTCCTGCTCTACAAAGCTCCTCCTCTACTCCTCAGCTCTGGCCTTTTGTACATTGCCTCTTCAATCACTCCAACTATAACAACTACTTTTGGCCATCGAACTGTCATTCTTTGCAGTTCCTTCCCCACCTAAACGTTTCACCCTTGCTGATTTGCATGCAGGAATGGAGAGTTGTATATCCAAATAAATTAGGAGGCCTAGCTTGTGCGGATGGGAACATCTGTGAGAAAATCTTGACAAATGGAATTCAATATTGGGAAATATTAATTCTTTCACTTTAGGTTAGCTCAAGACAAGTCCAGAATATTTTCGTTAGGCTGGACCTGCAAAGGTGCAAAATGGTTGAAATGCATGTGTATACAAATCAATGCAAGGTAGTGCACAGGCAAATAAAGGAATAAAAAAGGTTATTAAAATGTTGCCTTTCATCTCAAGGAGATTGAAATTCATAAGTGAGGGAGCAATTGAAGAGTCTTATCAGATACCATTTGCAGTAATCTGTATAGTTTTGGGTACTGCACCTGAGCAAAATTAAATTGGCCATGCAAAGGGGTGCGGATGCTGATGTATCTGAATGCTATTGGGGCTAAAGGGATAGATTTATAAGGATTTTCTAGAATAGATACAGAGAAACCATGCTGTCCACTAGATGGAACCGGAACATGGAGGTATAATTCTTCAAATGAAACTATAAGAAATCAGAACAGAAATCAATAATTTTTTTTTACGTACACAGTAGTGGAAGTCTGGAATGCTCTATCTTAAAAGACTGGATGTTGGTTCAGTTGATATTTCATGACTGAACTTAATAGATGTTTCAAATAAAAGCAAAATACTGTGGATGCTGTAAATCTGAAATAAAAATAAACAATGCTGGAGAAACTTAGCAAGTCTGACAGCATCTGTGAAGCCCATTATGAGTAAGTCGTCTTCAGAACAGATGGACATTTGTTGGATATGAGAAACATGGAATACTGAGCAAAAAGGAATAAATAGAAGAGGTAGAAATCACCTCATTGTCACATAGGATGGAAGAACAGGTGTGAAGGACAGAATGATCTCAACTTATTGATGACCCCTAGGGCAGCACGGTGGCTCAGTGGTTAGCACTGCTGCCTCAGCGCCAGAGACCTGGGTTCGATTCCAGCCTTGGTTGATAGGCTGTGTGGAGTTTGCATGTTCTCCCATAACTCCATGGGTTTCACTGGGCATTTCAGTTTCTTCCCACAGTCCAAAGATGTACAGGTTGGATGGATTGGCCGTTATAAATTGTCCCATAGTGTCCAGGGAAGGTCAGGATAGTTGGGTTAGCCATGAGAAATGTGGGATTATGAGAATAGGATGGGGGGGTGGTGTTGGCTGGATCCCAGTAGGATACTGTTTGGAGGGTTATTTAAATCCATAATAATATTGTACATCTCCATTAAATCTCCCTTCTTCTAAGGAGAACAACAGCAGATTTTCCAACCTAATCTTGCAGCTGAATTCTTTACCTCTGGAACTATTCCATCAAATTATCTCTATACCTTTTCAATGACACTGACATCCTTTCTAAAGTGTGGGCTGACCAAAACTGGATGCAATTTTGACCGAATCAGAACTTTGTCAAAGTTCAAAATTCAAAATAAACAATTTTCCTTCTTTTTTGCTTAGTGTGCCTGTTTATGAAGACAAAATTCCATGTTCTCTTTAAAGCTATTTTAGTACATATCTCTGCCTAAACTTTTAGTCTTCCTTCTTAAAATCTCCTTTTCTTCACTCAATTCTTTGCTTGACTGCGCCTTTTGTCAAGTGCCATAGGACAGTTTTTCTACGTCAAAAATAAGTGTAGGCTATTATTTTCTTGTTTTGAATAACTTGTATCTAAATTTTAATTTATACACCTATTGTGTTATTCACATCAATTCTTTATGTTGATAATTCTGATTGAGTAAGCATTTTAGGAAAGATTTTCCTGGGTTTGTGTCCAGATGCCTGGGGTGGTTGGATGCAGCAAATCACAGAAAATTGACGAAGTCATTGTGCATATACACAAATAAATTGTCTAATTTTTCTCCATCGAAAACTATGAAAGGAAATAAAACATATTCCTCAACAGGTGCGTGTTCTGACCCGTGCAGTTGGCCACTTCAAGATTGTTCAGTATCCAAAGGCACAGACCTGACGGAAAATCTGTTAAATCTGTAGTTATTCATTTGCAAATGGTTTTGAATGCACAAATTAAGCTCCTCTTGTTGTCATGCTATGCAGAACCAGTAACATAGATGGAGTGTTATGTGATCTGTCTGGATTTCTGTTATAAATTTATATGAATTTAAATAAATTAATATTTCTCAGACTTGTACATTCTACATATTGGGTTGCTTTTAGTCAGTTTTAAGCATACAGTAATGAAGAAATGAGTTCTGCTTCATTGGCAATTAATTTAAAAACTCTCTGGGTATCAAGACAGAGATTTTGTATTCATACTTTAAACAGTTTCCACCATCATAGAAGTATTCTTTGACAGGTAAAAATACTTCGTGGATAATAATGAGCTTGATCTTTACAATGGAAACTGTACAAGCATTTGCAAATGAAATACAAAGCTGAAGAATTCACTTAATGGGAGTACTGTAGAAAGTTGATACTCGGAGAAATACATTGCAGTATATTCCATGCAACATTCTGCAGTTTGTTCTGAATTTTTTTTTTACCCAGGTAACAGATTTTGGACTTTCTGTACAGAAAGGGGGTGTTGGTAGTGACAAAATGTTGCAGGCAACCTGTGGAACACCCTTGTATATGGGTAAGCAATCTGTTGATGTTTGCATGTGTTTTCTCAGCAGAAGTTTCCAATTAAAATTTCACATTTGACCAGTGCATTTTCTAGGCTGTACCATTTTGTATAAACAGAAAATGAAAAACAAAAAAAAATGGCAGTTTTAGTTGTAAAATGTCACTTTTGGCTAAGATGTTCCATAAAACGTTAAATTTATCACGATTATTTCCCAGATCTAAGTAATTGAGACAAAAATATGTAAATGTTAACACTAATGTGCACATTCCGTAGTAATGCTGTGTGGCATCATGCCATGTTGGAGAGATTCCTTTTGCACAATGAGGCCTGCTTTTAACAGCCTTATAAACAATAAAGTTTAATGCTGCAATCATTGATAGTTATCATTTTTCCATAGAAAGGTGATTAGAACACAATAGATTAGAATTTTGTAAAAATTTATGTTGAAGCCTAGGATGCTTTACCATAAGGAATAGAGACCATTCAATATGTAGGAGGAAATTGGAAAAGTATTTATATCAGAGGAAAATGAGGGCATTTAGGACAGTGGAATTAGTTTAGACTCGCTCTAGCAAAAGCAGGAGCATTTATGCTATGCCCAGTGGCCCCTTCTGTACTCTCAACATGTTTTCTTCAATGGTTAGAAAAGTTCATTCAGGTCTTTGTGATATCACAATCACAAAAAAGTTATTTTTGATTTCAGACCCCAAAATAGTTTTGTTACATAATCATGCCCACGCCTCCAATTGTTTATTTTTAATCTGATGCTGCTTTTAAAAAAGACTTTCTGATATCACCAAAAACAACATGGATATTGTTACTGGAAGATTGAGAGTTTACTTTTGCAATGCATTACTGAGAAATTATACATTTCCAATCAGATTTTCTATTATATGTTCTATGTAATGTTGAGTTTTAAACACATACGTTAACATAATGTCTTCAGGCACTAACCTGTTTCTAAATCCTTCTTCCTTGGGAAACCCTCAGGGTTGAAGATGATTTGATTGATTCATTCATTTATTCTCATGTGTACCGAAGTACAGTGAAAAGCTTTGTTTATGAGCAGTACAGGCAGATCATATTAAGCAAGGCTGTGCAGATTGAAAAGATTTAGAGGCAGACAGGTTACGTTGCACAGAGCGTGCGCTAGGTGAGATCAACGTTAGCGAGATCAGCATTATTTGAGGCTAGAGAGTCCATTCATCAGTCTAATCACGACCAGGAAGAAGCTGTGTCTGAACCTGTTGGTGCTTGTGTTCAGGCTTCTGTATCTTCTGCCTGACATAAGAGGTTGTAAGAGATCATTACCGGGCTGCGATGGGTCTTTGATGATGATGCCAGCCTTTCTGCAGCAGCGAGCCATGTAAATAGAGTCCATAGATGGAACGTTGGCTTCTGTGATGGTCTGGGCTGTGCACAACACCTTCTGTAGTTTCTTACAGTCCTGGGCAGAGCAGTTACTATACCAGGCTATTATGCACCCGGACAATATGCTTCCACCTGGGGTGTGGGTTCTGCAGTGGCTGAATAGTCCAATTCTGGACTGCAGGATCTGCCACAGGTGGGGCAGCTGGTGTTTGGTAAGGTTGGTAGGTGGGATGCTCTGGATTTTGCACATTGGTTCAACTGCTAATGTTTGGCCTCCACATGCTGCACTTGGTGATGCTCAAAATGGTTGTCGCCTCAGTGGATCTGTCTTCTCCAGTTTATGCGCCAGTGCCTTGATGCTGGGAATATTGTCCTGGAAGAGGACACTCATGTAATGCTAATCCTGTCAGTGGATGTTCAGGATTTTGCAAAGCCGGGTGATAACTCTGCAGGGATTTATGGTGTCTGATATATGTGGTTTATGTTTCTGATGCATACAGGAGCGTGGGGAGCACAGCTGCTCTGTAAACTATGAGTGTGTGCTGTGTTGAGGTCTCAGATTTTGGAGACTTTGTTCCTCAGGCATCCAAAGGCTGCACTGGCGCCAAACTCCACTGAGAGCCAAAAGGGAAGTCATTCATTAAAGAGGCAGTCAACATGCACTGCAGAGTGCACTTCGAGGACTTCCTCGACCGTCCCACCGCCATTGCAGCATAACTCCAATCAGCCGTGAGGTTGAAAAAACCTTGACAGCTGAAAAACAACAAGCTTCTGGTACAGTTGGTATTCCCAATAATGTACTACAATACAGTAGAGAGGCACTGTTGACACAAATCCACAACTAATTTTGAAATATTATGCAAACATTTGACTGAGAAGATATTCGTAAGCAGCAGTTGGCATGTTTTGATAACCCATGCCCTGATTTTTGCTGCCTGGGGTAGTGTGAGCTAGGAAATTTCACAGTTTGCTGCATCTCACTTTGTAGAACCCTCCACCCCCCCCACCCCCCACCACCACCATCACCAAACCAAATGGCAGCACCTTTACTCTGGGGAGGGGAAAGTGGGGCGAAGGATAGATTCAAGCCTGTCATTCCTGGGAGAAATGCCATGGGTTCTCTGTAATTTCATCACTTTTGCTTGCTTACATCTTAAGCCCTCTTGCTGTCAGACCGTACATCCCATTCGCAATACCTCCATGTTAAACCAGTGTTGACTCATGCCATCCACTCACTGTCTTATTGTGCCATGCCAACTCAATGTCAACACATTATATGCTCTTACCCCAATGGTCGATCCTGTTAACTCATGGAATCTCTATGCCCATTTAACAAATATATGTTTTGTACTGAACGAATGGATTATAACAGTGGAATATATGAAATTTAGGAAATAATCCATTCATAATTCCTTTAAAAAAAACAAACTGGTGTGCCTTAATCTCTATAGACATGTCAATGGAACAGACCACAATGTTTCAGTGATAGAAACTTTAAGCACTTCATATCTCTTGGTCTTTTGGAAATAAATATTGAGAAATTAAGAGATCACAGAGAAAGAACTTATTATCACCACATAGAACAGTACAGCACAGTACAGGCCCTTTGGCCCACGAAGTTGTGCCGAATTTTTACCCTAGAACTTATTATCACCACATGTCAATCAAGCAAAATTAAGATGTTTGTTCAATTACATGAACAACCACCCTGATTTCTCAGCATGTATAATGTACAATTGTATAGATTGCTGGGTGCATGGAAAAAGAAGGCCCATTAGTTGACATCTTGAAGGTTGGGAGAGGGCGTGGGAGTATGGCATGCAGTAAGAAGAGGTACACCTCTGTGAAACCTTTTGAATTTAATTTTCAAGAGATTCCTGAAGCTAAACTGTGGACCATGAGTGATGGAGAAACTGGCTAGTCTGCACTAAAATCGCAGGGATTTGGAAATACCTCCCCTGCAATAGAACCTATCAAGTCAGGGGTGCAGTGTGCGGCTTGCTATCTTCAGCTTTTACTTCATTCCATTAATAATTCAGGGTGCTGGGAATGGGGCTGAGAATCCCAGTATTTGGCTCACCTGTCATCTGACTGTATGACCATTGTGCACCCTGTAATATTTTACTAAGTACAGAATAAGACTAAATATTTTTCCCTGCTTGATAGGTTGATAAAGTGAAGATTCGTATTTTGCAGAAAATGATTTATGATGTTGGCAGCAATCAGCTATCTGCACAACAGTAATAATATGGTATAAACTATAACAATGCCAGCCAATAGTCAGCAAAGAAAAGTGTGAATCATTGCAATGGTGCATACTGAAACGAATCCAAATCCAGCAGACATTAGGCTTTGTGGGTCAAAAGACTTTCTTATGTTCTTCTAATTTTGGTTCCATATCCTAGAAGGACACCAGATGGTGCTGTTATTACTGCCATTCATTAAACATTGGCTGCTGACTTGCACTAAGAGAGAAAAAGTGTGTTTTTAAAATAAAGAATGCTTTCATCAAAGAATCCCCACAGTGTGGAAAGAGACCATGTTGACCCAACAATTCCACACTGACCCTCGAAGACCATCCCACCCAGACCCATGCCCCTAACCCTGCATTTCCCATGGCTAATGCAGCTAACCTACACATCTCTGAACACTATGGGCAATTTAGCAGGGCTAATCCACCTAACTCGCACATCTTTGGACTGTGGGAGGAAATCAGAGCCCCTGGCAGAAATCCACACGGACATGGGGAGAATATGCAAACTCTACAGAGACAGTTGCCTGAGGTTGGAATCAAACCCGGGTCCCTGGCACTGCGAGGTGCTAACCACTGAGCCATCATGCTACCCCTTACTGGTTTGCAATTTGTTCTATTCATCAATTTTCAGCTGCACAAACAATGTAAGAACTAATAGTTTATATAACTCAGTAATTCGATTGTTAGAGATGTATCTGTTTTTTGGTTGCCAATAATACCAGATTTTGGAACTTAGGCAATGTTTGCTTCATGTGTAGTAAATGATGTGTGGATACAACTCTCCTGTGTTGTTAGCATGCATTGTTTTAAGCAGTTTAGCTTCGGTATCAAACAAACATGCAAAAAACTTCATTCAAATATGTTAAGTGCTGATACATTATGCATAGCAGGAATTCACCTCAGAGATGATAAGTTTAATTCACTTTGCAACAACAATGGAGTTCTTATTTTACTGTATGATTAAGGGAAAATGCATAAGCATTGCAGATGAAATGATGGAATCTAGGTTTCTCACTGGAAGCTAGTAACTGTCCTTACAATCTATGATTTCGGTTCTTTTTTAGTAATAGTTTTAACAGTAGCACAAGTGAGGAGTGGCAGGTTAACCACTTAAGTATTTGAAAATAATAATATGTCAAATAAACTGTTCATTAGCTTGCACATATAAATATGTTGATTAGAACTACAATTTCAGTGATTTTAAAAAGGCAAGATACAAAACTTATTTTAGAATCACATTCTCCCTTCTCCTACATCTATTTAGTCAGAATTTAAAACTGCCCTTAATTCTCATTTGAACAGAAGAATGTAAGAAATAGGAGAAGGAATAGGCCATCTGGCCCCTCAAGCCTGCTCTGCCGTTCAATAAGATCGTGGCTGATTT